CGAGAATGCGCCGGATATTGCCTGGGTACATTTCGTCAGTAACTTTAACACCATGGTTAGTGAAACATTGGAAACCAAGAATAGTATTTCCAGAACCATGACTTTTATGCGAGGTAGGACATGCGAACGGATGGTGGTGCGCAACGCGGCGTGGTATACCCACCAAACCGATCTATCCGAGTAACTGGAAGGCCTATGTTGTCCACTGTACTTGTGGTACCCAACTTGTGCGCGAAGACAAAGTAGCTTATCAAAATGCTTTAGTTTAGCAAGTAACTGCAAATACTAAGCTTCTGTACAAGCACGTAAACAGCCTTCGCAAAGTAAGAGGTGGATTTACCCTCTGCCAACAGCGGATGGTCTAACTCCGAATGCTAAATGGGCGCCGAATTTTCTGCAACACCAATATGCACCAATGTTTCATTGCATCCCTTGGGTTACTGAATCTTTGAAATCTATGTTGCCTAAAACAAGACCGACTTAAACATTTTTCTGCAGGTATCGGGCTGAGAAAGCTGCTATACACGCACATTCACGCCTGTCCAGAAATTAACGACCTCCACCCAAAGACGCTCGCCGTGACGGCTACTATTCTATCTGAGCCTTTGGAGTGGCCGATCCAGCAATGTCTTGAGGAGCAGCACGTTTAAATAATAAGGGAACATGGAATATTAACCCACTACAAAGGGGTAGTCTTTCAGAACCAGCTAAGTACCGACCCGTGACTTTACTTTTATTTCCTTCAAAAGTTATCGAGGCTATCGTAGCGGACGCACTCATGTTTTATCTGAACGGCTTTTGGTTAAATTGCTTAGCGGCAAAACGGTTTCCGCAGTATCGGTCGTTCATAACCAACCTGCTGTAAGCACCAGACAGCTGAACCGGAACTGTGGACGCTGGTGCCGGAGTTGAGGTGGATTATCTTGATTTCTCTTAGACATTCGACCAGTTGGACCATTGCTTCCTTCTCGAAACCTTGCAAAGATGTGGCATTAGGAACCCATTCCTTGGGTCGATTCGCAATTTTCTCTCGCAATGGCGTCTGAACGTGAGAGTACGTGGATCCACGTCAGCTCCAATTCATTTTGAATGTCGAGTGCCACACGGTTTGGTATTAGGCCTCGTCTATTGTTGGTCTGCGTAAACCATCTAGTGAACCAATGTACGTCAAAATGTTTGCTATCCGCCGATGCCACCTAAGTTTGGCCAGCCCTTAGAGCTCTAGGAGCCAGTATCCAGCTTCAAATCGATGTTGACAAGATTTATGGATGGTCAGTAAGAAACGCCTGTTCTTCAATGCAGCTAATTGTCGACTGCACCATTCACGACCCCGAATGGTTCAAACCTAGAAGCTTGGGGACAGGGTCCGCAACACAGTTCTGCAGAAAAGAATCCCATCGTGTTGGTTCAGGAAGACATCGGCTGCTTGGAGGAGTCCAAAATGGTAAGGAAGAAGGGGCTCCCAACCTTAGGGCTTTGACAGAGTAACTTAGGACAATTCTAACTGCCGACATTTTGCCAAATACTTCTGGCATATATAAGCTCACATGTTAAATATGCAACCCAAGCATGGCGCTTATGGCCAAAATGGGATCTCACGGCCTTAGACCTACCGCAACGTCGGGCGACCAAAAATGTCAAGGGGCCACGCCAGTTGTCATCCGAACAGCACCTCGGCGTGCTTGACATTTTCAGCGGAATTTATCACCGTTTGCTTGTGGATGTAATCATGGTTTAGCAAATATTAAACAACACTAAGCACCCTTGCCATCAACTATTAAAGTTGTGTCACAGCGGTCAAGTAAGAAGTCAACATCTCAATTTGGCAGAAATAAGTAGTCGGTTGGAGTGTCAAAGAAGCTGCTTCTCGCTGAGTGTTTGCCACACGTAGGATACCTTCTCAGGAGCTATTATTTCAGCCCCTAAGTTACCCATGTTCAAAGCAATTGTCGACCGTGCACTAGCCACCCCATTCTTTATCACTTTATCCAAAGGACCTAACCAAACAGCCGAAAAACAAAAACAAACCAACCCATATTCATTTGTGCACTTAAACCACAGTCATTAATCTTGGATAGTATGTAAAACTGGCTGGAAAGCTGCAATCGACACGTTAGTAATTTGTAGTTGTTTACTATTTCTGATTGCCAGTATTGCGTTTATTTTGTTTACTCCTAACCGGTCAAGCAGCTGGATATGTAAAGCCTTGGGTTTTTATCCGCAAGTTATCAATGACAATTGAACATGGTTGCACTTCCGATGGCTTACAGACAATCAGAGCCCATTTTGCACCCTTCTACCTACTAGGCACCCAGTACTACTTCGTATACTAATCCTTGCGCTATAATTTGGCCGGTAAAAACGTTTGTTCACAACCAGGTGGTCGCAACTTCCCCGACACTTAGTCGACTAGGTCTAGAAGAAATATTTATTTATCGATCTTGCATGGGATCTCATTTGTTTGTCGGCAGCATAGTATTGACGGTAATACAAGTCTTTTATGTGAACATAACCAAGCGCATTAATACCGTGCGCCACCGGAAATTCATCATTTAACTCGTAGAAAGATCGCTGGCATGCTTATATACTTAGGCGAGCAGCATCCCTAATGGCGATAGACCCACAAACACGCGTCTTTGTCGTAGATTACATTACGTTCTGTGCTTTTACGATTCCTTTAACGCACCTTCTAACAAAGCCTAAGGCCACCGATTTCTGCAAGTGGCAAGTCCTGCGTTCGATGAGCACATTCTGACAGCTTTTGTATTCCGCGTCCGAAAACAATCTGGTCTCGGACCTGCAGGTATAATAACTGCTCTGCCAGCCATTAAGCCTCATAGGTTTGACAAGGAGCATGCACAACTGGCTCGTAGGTGGCGCAGGCTGTTGGACCAATTCCAACTCCGCGGCTTGTAGGACCAGTTAATACTAGTTCAAGAAGCTGCGCGAAATGAAGCGCGGATATCAGAAGGCAATCGGAGTCTGACAAAGCGGACTGTTTTCGATGGGCGACAAAAAGAAGCGAACGAATGAAGCAAGACGAGAGTGAACACGTGAACTTTGGAATTTACAAGGCGGTCCAGTGTTGAACCGGTTGTAAGCACGATTACAAAAGAAAGCATAATGTACAACCGGTCATCAAATAAATTTTACATAAAAGATAAGGGTTATCCTTTGGGGCGCTACAGGCTCTGGCAATGAGTATAAAGGTATAAAAGTCAGGGAAACCTCGGTGTCAATGCAGAAAGGCATAAGCGCTGACCTTTCGAAGAACAAATCGCAATCGCCGCAAAGACCGCCCCAAAAGGAATTTTCGCTTACGTGAAGAGACATCTAAGCCGGCAGGTAATGTGTTAGATGGCCCGGATGGACAGCCCCTAAGCTCCAGCGCCTCGCGCACGTTGGAGCTGGCGACGCAATACGCTTCTGTATTTGAGATTGACTAGGTGTCTGTCCCAAGTTAGACGTGTAACGCTTTTACCGAACTTGACAGTCTGAATTTCGACGTTGAAGAAATAGGTCAACTACGCGTCATCCTTACCGCACCAAACCTGCCGGACCTATTGAAATTTACCCCCTGATTCTTAACTCACTTTGGACCACCATTTCTCCTGACGTGACTGACGGTTATAACGGGTCGCTGTCCAAAGGTTCGTTGTCGATGGACTGGAAATGTTCGGTGGTGCAGCCAATTCCCTAAGGCGGCGACTATAGCAAAGTAGACAACTACATGCCAATTTGCCTGCCACTTATTTTGAAAAAGGTTGCTAGGCAAATCATGTAGAAAGACTTGCTGCAGCCGCTACAGTCAAAAAAGGTCCTGACGCGCACACAGCAAGGTTTTGTGCAAGGCCGCTCAAGCATAAAAGCTTGTTTGTGACGGGACTTGAGTGCTTGAAGGCAATAAGCTAGGGGAAGTCTGTTGACGTGATATACGTCATTTTCACTAAAGCGTTCGACGAGGTCAGCCTTGAGGTCCTCCTTTACAAACTCAAGATGTGTGGTGTCAGGGGCTCACTGCACTGGTTGATCCGCTACGTTCTTGTTGCAAGAAAGTGGAGCGTACAGGTCGGAGACCATCTACCTGACTGGTGTCCCTCTGCAAGTAGCGCGCTTCAAGACACCGAGCTTGGGTTCACTCTGTTCCTGATCCACATCAACGACCTACCTCAGCTTCTCCGGTCGCCGTGTGCCCTGGTTGCGGACGACATGAAGATTTAAAGCAAAATTGGCACTCCCGACGACTGTGGCGTACTTCAACAATACCTCAACCGCCTATCCACCTAGTCTGCAGCAGTTTATCTCACAGTCAATCCAGCCCAGACGGTAATTATGAGACCGGGAGAGGGTGCTGACGGCCAAAACTACACCTTTGCCGGCCAAACGCCAAATCCCACAGTCTCCTTGAGGGACCTCAAGGTACTCTCTTGCTACGGCTTGATTTTCCTGGACAACCCGAATACGCTAAATCGGAACGCATCGGGTAGGCTTTGCGCGCTCGAATGTAGCTTCTGCAATGGTCTGAAGCGTTGACCGCTCGCCTCTTTTCTTCCACCATTAGACCAATGCTAGACTGTGGTTTGCCCGCGCAAATTCCGGGTACCAGTGGCGATGCATCAAAGCTCGAACGGGTCCAAACCGTTGCTACCAGACGCATCCCGTTTAAGTGGCTTGGGGTATGAAGGCCCGTACGAGAAACTATGCCTATACACCTTGTCCAACCTTCGAGTGCGGGTTGACCTCGCTAAGGCCTACCGCATTCTATACATCGGTGGCTACGTCATGCTCAGGCCAATGTTACATCTACGAGGGCTAGGCAGCACACGCGGACACAGATACCAAAGTTTCGTGCCGGATATGCAACTTGTTCCCCACTCACTGTGCTTCGAACCGTGAGTAATAATTATTTGGAACAGTTTGCCTGAAAATGTGATGGAATAAACTTTTGTGCAACGATTAAAACGGTTGTTCGATTTACATTTTATTACTATTTGTTTCAGAGAACGATTGCGCACTTGCGATGACGTGTCGCATTCATGAGTTCTGCGATACCGTGAGTTCGATATTCTACATGTTACATGATAACGATAGCCATAATCGCAGCTGACCATTTTTATAACGTTTTCAACCTTTTGCAAAAGAGTTGTGAAGGATTTATATCTACGTGCTCTGTTATACAGTATTCAGTAACATTTTGGTCTACCCATCGCTTTTACCCACTACTGAAGTTGAAAAATCGCTTCTATCCATACCTTAACAAACCCGTACAATTTTCTTGGCGTGCCCAGACTTGTTTATTATTCCCTTTAATTTAAAGGTAATAAGTACCTACATGGAACACTTATCAAGGCATACCTGCAAAGCTTACCTGTCCGCGAAATCAACAAAAGTATTTGTAATATTCCACACCTCGCAATCCTGCTGCAATAAAGGAACTGAGAAAGGGTATTTACAAAATACAAGTCACCTAAATCGCCTGACCACATTAGCTTTACCTAATCCCGTTTGACACCGACAAAGCTAACCATACAGCCAACGGCCGCAGCTTGACGATGCGTGACTGCAAACACCTGCATGGACAATCGGTTGGATGCAACCATGACGATATCATACAGACGGTCGGCATAGTTCCACGACGTTCTGAGTTTTTCTCTGGCAAGGGTTCTTCATACCAAAAGCCACTAACGTCTGTTTAACAACTGCGCGACATGATGGATTTGGTTCACAATTTAAGGAAGTCATTGCGGCTACCACGCATGGCAACGATCGGAAACTCAAATCACAAGCTCCATTCATATGCCGTCTCATTCAAATACATGTACATGTTTGGTCAGTGATACGCGTCTATCCTTAAATAGTTTTAAATGGTTTTCATCCAGTTTCACGCAACTGCCTTGCATTATGTAAACAACCTTATCGGACAATTTTCTCACCAACCCATACTCTATTCCAATGTACTTCGTAATTATTAGCCCTACACCTAGTAGACTGTTAACGAGTGTTCCCACGTTATTTTGATGATGCTTGCAAAGACAGGCACAGATATACTCGAGGATAAACAATTCTTCCTTTGGGCCAACTCGACCTACATACCGAAGTGCACCTGAGCATTATTGTGCTTGGTCTGCTAAAATATACTCTTAGATACGACGGTGCTTTCTTCTGATCATGCTCAAACGGCGTGCTTTGCCTTGTCGCGAAGAAAAACCTTATTCATTTATTTATGGACAGGTTTTGAGACTGGTCTACCTTTTGGCCACAGCCCAGTAAGCAGGCTGTCTTCCGTTCTTCCTATAAGAGCAACATTTTCACCGTTGAGGAGCAAAAGCCAAAAATGTTTTACCATAATATGTCACTTATGCGGAGGCTTGGTAGTTTATCGGACCCACTGCTGGTGCTGAAAAACCTAACGTTTCTGCTCAAGCTACAGTAAAAGCCGAGAATGTGAAATTAACTAGCGCAGCCGCTATTCAGACCATTAGATCAACCTCTCAAATGTGGAGCTCTATAGTAACAAAAGTAAGTCAAATGGACAAAGTTAGTAGTTGCATTACCTGCGAAGCAAAAGTTAGCTGTGATCAAAAGCAATAAGGAAATGACTCCCGAACGGTCAGTTAAGAGGAAGTGAGTTGGGTTTAGGACAAAGTGTCATATTTGCAACTAAACTGACCGCAGAGAAAGCAATGCTTTGTACCTTTATTTGTATAAATATGGCGCGGCGGCACATAATTGGATTAGGTGAGAAGCCGGAATGTGTAGTTTTACGGCGGAACAGCTAAGCCAAATACATGTAGGCTACAACAAGGATAACCGCCATATTAACTACAAGGCCTAAGCCGCCCATAGTTAAAAGGTTAAGGGGATATGCACTGCCACGCAGGCCAGTACGTAAGAGAAAGGTGCTAGCAGCGTGCGACAATAGGCCAGCATTTATCAATGAATCGCTAATGCTCTATGTTGCGCAATGTGAGTATGAGGTGTTAAATTTCTAGCGATAGGAAACTGAAGCAGGTTAACCTTTGGGAGGCTAGCAAAAAGGCAATGCTGTGGTACTGCGTTGCACAGGCTACTTAGTATTCGTAGCTTGTTTTAGATGCTGGGTAGTACTTATCGTGTTTTATCGCGTGTTGTCTAACTGAAGTTGGTTAAGCCCGTCTTCCCACAACTGATCTTCCGTGGATGCAAATTTGTCAACCGGGGCCGTGGAAGCTATATTTGCTGGGTGACGTTGCGCGAAGGACCCCAAGGACCTTATGGAAAATGGTGGTCAAGTTGCTTCAAACGCATACTCGTAGAATATAACTTTCTATCGTACATTGCATTAGGCTCTTGATAGGGAAAAGAAATATGGTCTACTGCGTAGGGAATAGCAATGATCAAGGGTCGTTTGTATAAATCTAAGGTTATTGGTTTCAGGGTTTTTGAAGATTGGAAATGATTTCACTAAATTTACCTTACTGTGGAACAGTCAACTGAGATCCACCTTGAGCGCCATGCACGTTCAAAGGTAACTTAGGGTGGTGGCCAACTGACATTTCGTTAACAAATGCTGGCTATTTTCTACCGCACGTCTTTCATAATTCTTTAGATTGCAACGACCTACAAAGCGGTATACTTAAAGTTGGCGCGCACCGAGCTTGTAGAATATGGTCCTAGATTCTGCAAAAGGGCGCGTTTTAAACTTGCATCTGATTAAGCACCTAACTCTGGGGGCGCTGTAGCTCACTTGATCCTTTAATTTCGGTGCTATGAGTAACGTACTCTGAGGTCACTTACTGTTGAGCAGTTGCCTAGTGTGTTGACAATTAGCGTCAGCACCTTATGGGGGTATATAACGTGTTGGTACCTGACATCGCATTTGTCTTGCAAAACTTCCAGCCTACAACTATTACAAATATTTAGGTGAAGCACATAAGTAAGCATGCATTCAGGTATGATTATTATCTCTCCTACATACGTAACTGTATCACTTGATGTAGAGGTTTAGTGTCATACCTTCACATACATTTACAATACCAGTAAACGGACCTCTCATTTTTCTGTTGTTATGTAAGCCGTTCACTTACAAATGTAGCCCCTACGAGCACTTCCAAGTGACGATTCTGGTCCAGTGAGTGCTAATGCCTTGGCTCTCAAAGTGCACAATTAATCAGGTACAATCAGTGGTTCGCTACCAAGTTTCTTTGAAAGCAGGATGTACAAATTATAGAGGAATAATGATAATAAATCATTTCAAAGCGCGTAAGTGTGTTAGAGCAGTTGTTCTCGGTTGTCTTATGTGTTGATATTTAGTTAATTCCTACTGATATGATGTCTTGCACAATACGACCTACATATTGTCATTGCTTGCACCCTGACGTTTGGAGCTTTCAAATTAGGCGTGACCTTGAGAAACACCGGTGGTCAGCGCCTTCAAGGATCATAACAGATTTCAGTACGAAATAGGTTTGGAAGCTACGATAATGATTTTCTTAGACCATCTGCATAAACATGCAAGTCAAGTCACCTTCATGAGTTTCTTGATGTCGACAGAGGATTTGGACGCCAAAAGCCTTCTTGCGACTACAACAAATGGAGCTTTCCTACTCGTCTATCATCCGGATTTAATATTTGCGCTACAGACCGGTAGAACGCTGGGTTAGAAGTGGCTTCGGATAAGGTACGTCATAGGACAAATGACTATAAAAGCGCTATTGTGCGATGCACCATGTATCTGTAAACTCTATCATGACGTTACATACATATAACTAATAGCCGTTAAATAAGGCATCCATAATGTGCTTACAATTATATGTAAATGTAAAGGTATGATCACTAGATAAAATACGCATAAAGGTATAATAATGGCATAGGTGAATAATTAAGAAAAGAAGGTGTTTTCCTAATATTTACACATAAAATTTGTCGAAAAGTAAAGGGCATAGTCCCACTAGTCTGTAGTTCAAATGAACACAAGAAAATGGAGGGTTAGTTGAAAAACCTGGAATAGTGCGCTGGGTTGCTTGAGTTTACCCCTGTCCAGCAAGTAGGATGGCAACAGTGTGCTAGGAAAGCGTGTGCTTGCACCTTGCAACCGGTTTACCTATAAAGTTACAAACGTCTGCTTAGCAACACTACGACGATGCGAATGTCACCCGCGACAAACTAAAGTCATTGCCCGGTAGCTATCAGAAAACTGCTACCAAATCCACGGAGAACAATGACTTCTTCTCACATTTCGGCCGATAACAATTAGTCAAAAATACTGCGGCCGACTTACAGATTGTCGGAAATAAAGTATTACTTAATAATTGATTTAAATACAAGGTACACAGTTGCGTTCAAACACAAGTACTTTCGCATATACACTCATACATATAAAGCAACTGTTATGTAAAATATGAGCCGTAAAAGTTTGTTAAACTTATGTTAGACTAACCTGGTCATGTCTGTAAAGGTGTGTCACGCATCGTCAAGAAAATAGGTTTATTAAATTATTTATTTAAATGACGGTTAAAACTTGTGCAGCAACTTAATCAGAAAGTTTTGTTCCAGTATCCGGGACCATATTATTTGGTCTTAACCAAAGATTTCTGAAAGGTCTTATATAAAAGGTAAATGTTCTTCGACCGCAATTTCTAGACACTTACTGCAGCAGCGCAGCATCTATGTCTAGTAAGTGGACTGCAGCCATATAGCACGTGTCATGCACTAGGACAACCGTGCATGCATCTAAAATATCCGCTTTTACGATTTTATATTTATCGCGGTGAAGCGCTTATTTTGCGTTCATTACCCAAATTTTGTGCACATATGTAACTGCATACCGTACATGTTTAAAGGTGACAGTTCATCAAGAAACACGATATAGTTATTTATTGATGGTAAAGGGAACAAACTAAATTTACTTTACAGAAATTATTCTTTTATCCTCTCTTCTCTAAAGTTGAAGTTTCGCACTACAGCCAGTTGGTACCTGCCATAGTCGTGACACCAAAATCAGAGATGACGCTGGTGCGTGTAACATACAGAGATACAATTGTGTCCGCACAGGCCAGTGCTAAGCAATACCTTGATAAGCTAACATCCGCACACACGTTCAGTGTAATAATTTTGTACAATGTTTTCTGAGGGCAGACTCAGAGTGTGTAGTTGATGTAGAAATGGTACTCTTATGAGTACGGCGAAAGGGAAGCAACTCAAGAGTAAGTAGAAGGTAGAGTTGATGTATTTGACGTTCTTATGTAACAAAGCTTTTTAAAGGAAACCAGTGAGATAGTCATCTATTTTAGTACATAGTATGTGAAATTGCCGTTTTGATAACATGTGGTCTCTGGAGAGTAACTATAAGAATAAGTATAAGAATAAGGTAGTACCCCAGCGTGCCAGTATCCGGTCTTAATGCACCTAATATCTACGGTTGCATTACAACAGATAAGGGAAACGCTGCAAAAGTTCAGCGCAAGGTGTCACTTAATAATCGTTGAAAGCTAGATAGGTACGTGAACCTTTGGTGTGCTGCCGTCAAAAGCATAAGGCTTTCGTTTCGTGGTTGCTGGTAACGTTGGTCCTAGACATCGTTTTCATGTTGGTAATCCTAACCTATACGTTGCGAACCAGCGCGTGTGTCCGCTAGAAGAACGGCGCGCTTTTCATCTCATGCATATGCTACAGGACGCTTAGGCTTTGCAGAGCTACTGATTACTTTTATTCAACAACCGACGAAA